CCCATCAGCAAACCACAAGAAGGCTTCTTCTGAAAAGCTCACACATAGAGAGTCAATCTGATGGAAGTGGTCAGTCATAAGAATGTAGCAAATCACAGCAATGCAGCAAATTGATCTGATGTATGGCAATAGGCTGCGCCATTTGCAGTCCAGTACCAAGTCCAACAACTGTCCGTTGGTCAGTTCGATCAACAATACTCCACAAATGAATCCCAGAATCAGAACCCAAAGGTGGAAACGTACCACAAATAGTGCAGCGTAGAGTGCCTGATTGAAAAGGCACCGTTCCGAAAAAAGAACAGCAGCCAAAAGAGGCAAAACGCCAAGTTTTGTGCCACAAATATGGAATCTGGATCGCCAAATGGAAATGAACTAAAGTAATGTTAAAGTCATTCCAGTCTGTGGGGATCGTTGACAGACCAGGTATCTCAACAATAGATTTTCCTACGTCCTCAGTTTCTGCTTTGGCGCCCCAGAAACCCCTACAACTCAGCATCACTGAGGACACTGTTTCTCACTCGCTTGACAAACCAAAACCCTTCTGATCGACTCCCTTCAATCCAATCATATCAATCGTCCAATCATGCCACCTTTCACGAGTTCGCGCGTCACGGGTCATGTACAGACAAAGCGAGTTCACTCGTCCACCAAGCTAGTTCTCATGTGAGAGGCGGGGGTTCTATTCTTCAACCCTGCCTAGAACTCGTTCCCCTTTGACGTTCCTTTTTGGGTTCAGTTTAGATTGCCGCTATTGCGATCAAAAAGGATTGAATCTGAAAAGATATTCAGCAAGGGACACCCTGGACACCCTGAATAGCTTTACTAATCAGTTAAACTTAATACATCAAACAAACCATCAAACAAATAAGCCTTGCTTGCGCACTACCACGTCACTAGAAGAAAAATAAAGGAGTAAGAGACACGAGGAGGCTTCCCGATCCATCCCATCCTGATTGCAGCTTCAATCCCAACAATCGCTGCTCCGATGAGGAAGCCGATCCACGTCTCTGCATGAAGGATGCAAATTCCCGTCACCACCCAATCCTTCATCGTGTCTGCCATCTCGCTCGCAAATGGCGCTGTGTACGCCAGCACGGTTGTGCAAGTCGATGCCTCCAAGGCATGGCTATCCTTATATGAAGAGATGGAAAAAAAACAAAACAAAACAGGAATTATGTATTTCTTAACTTATGTATTCAATAGAAAAATCACCCTGCAATGGACAATCCAACAAATACCTGCAGCTTTTAAACTGGCCTATATTGTTGAAACATGTTGAAACCCATCACCATCCAAAGTCTGCCATGCCACGCCAAGCAGCGACCCGCAGGCATCGAACCAAGTTCTGCAGAAACAGGTTCCAGAGGCACAGCTGTTGCCACAAAACCCAAAGCTCCCAGGCCAAACCACCTCCTTCGCTGGAAAGCCAACCACTGAAGATGGCCAAGGTCACGATGCCGGCACATGTGAGGTGGTAGCAAAGGAGGGGAACTATGAAACAAGTGTTGGGTCCCTTGAATGGATGGTCGGTTCTTATTGGTACCATAGGACTTTCCAAGTCACTTGCTTCATCATCATTTCGGACAAGCTGTCCGTAGGCGTTTCTTTCATGGAAATGCTTGGCACAATAGAAGCAAAGCCGCATGGATTCGCACATGACAGCCATCATGGGTGGTGACAACCTTGCTTGGACAAAAGGAACTAAGGATCTGAATACAACTGTGGGTTCTGTTTTAAATTGACAGCATGACATCAGCAACAAAAGTGTTGTTCCTCATGTCATGTCACTCACATCGGGCAACTTCAGACTAGAAACACAAGAACAGAGGTGTACCAAACAGCCTTTAAAATGCCCTCTCGTGCCGCTGGGCAACAGGAGAATGGCACCCCAATAGTGAAGCCTTGCTTCGGACTCCTCCTCCTCAACGCCAGCCAGTTCAGGGAGGAATCGCTGTGGAGGCTGCACGAGGAGTGAAGGCAAGCTTTCGGTTCGGCACTTGATGTCGGAAGTGCACTCCCTCCTGAACGACAAAAGAACCGACGCAGGCAGGAGAAAACGTCATGTCCAAAAGGCTTTACAAACTATGAACATGTCGGATATATTCTGGCCACCATTGTGGTCCTACCGCCCTACGTTCATTCAAAAAAACTCGTCTGTTGGTCAAAAATGCAAGCTTCCACATCTTGACGTTACACATCTCCACCATCCAGATCAGGAATCCCACCACATTTAGTACAGGAATCCACGCCATGATCGCTGGAGGTCGAAAAATCCGGGGTGAAACGAGGCCGCTGCTTCCGGCGACGCCTTTGGCCGCAATCCGACCCTTCTTTGGCACCTCTCTTTGGCGCAAATCTCCAGGGTTTTGGACAAATCTCGTGACAATCTACTAAACCACTCACACGACATCATAGGATGTCTGAATTGGAATTATGTCTAGACTATAGACCCCAAACACTTTCAGCTTCTTTTTGGCGTCAACTCCGTGAATTCCAACGTAACGTTGGTAACTATATTTTTATAGCCTCCTGCTGCTTGGGAGCGGCATGTAAACACAAAAATGTGTGAAACCAATTAAACACAATAAAATTAGTTCCTCATTCCTGGGTAAACACGAGATAAATGATGTCACGAGAAAGTCATCGGATGATATCAAGCTCGAAACGCTGTATCACTCTTGCATTCATAAAAACACACGGACAGCAGCAGGACACTAGGAGGACAGGAGGACACATGGCTCACCAACGCGGCCGAAGGACAGGAGGACACCGAGAGGACAAAGAGGACACGGCCAGAGGACAGTTGGAGGACGACAGCACGACAACTCGAGGACAAGAAGAGGACTGAAACAAAACCCGGGCAACCGTGGCCAGAGGACAGCAGGAGGACACCAGGAAAACAACACCTGCACACGGAGACTGCGGGGGCGCAGCCAGAGATGGATCGGCCAGTGTATGTTTTCCTAAGAGAGAACCCCAACCGTAAACTACCAGTAATTGGGGAAAAGATGGGAAAAGAACGTTTTGGTGAAGCCACAGCCGTAGACCTGTTTGTTCATATCAAGGACTGAGGAAGGACTGCGCAACACCTTGACCAACAAACATCAGGAACACTCAAGTCGTCGATCGAATTGGAGCATTGAACTCACCCAATAGAGAATCGGCAAAAGGCCTGTTTGATGAAGCTTTGATGCTTTGACCACCAAATGTGGGTCTTCAGCATGTAGAAGCTAAATAACAACGAATCAGATCCCAGACACGAAGTTCCTGGGACTGGCATATTCACGGTGGAATCGCGGGTGGTCTTCAGTCGGGGTCAATGGGGCGGCGAACCATCGTTCCGCCAGGGCAGGCGCTACGTGACGACGTGACGACGTGACGACGTGGAAGAAAAGACGGATCTCGTGGCGGATGCGATCCGGGGTGACAAAGGAATCACCGCAAAAAAGAGATAAGTATCTATACAAGGGTCTGGAATGGTCTCGTATCAACCCACTGAACATCATGAGATGCTTGTCTAATGATTCTCCAAGAAGAGCTGGAGCAAAAGCGGCAAACATCCCTTGCTCCCTTCCTTGCTCCCTTGCTCCATCAAGATGAGCGGCACATGGCATCGCCACTGGCGTCGCCGCTCTGCCTGGACACGTGAAAGCTCAAGGGGATCAAGACTCAAGACTGGTCCTTGTAACCACTGGTGACCTGTCGGGATGCTCATGGGTTCAGAGTGTTTTGGTCCCAAGTTCGTCCCAAGCTGCTTCGGTTGAGAAATGAACGTGAGGTGTTTGTTACTTTAGAAAGCTTCGTTGCTACTAAGAAGCTTCAAAGACATACTAAAAAGCTACTTTGTTACTACAGGTGAAACGATTCGCAAGGAAGCTTCTAGTTAATAGAAAGCTCTATTGTTACTAAGAAGTGTTGAATACATACTGCATTGATTGTTGAATATCAAATTGATCTAAGGGAAACTAAAAACAGCTTACCCAGGATCTGATGTCTCGTGGGATATCTCGCAATATCTTGTGGTGCCGGAGTCAAACTGAGAGCATTTCGCCAAGGTTTGACCCACACGCACACTCACAAGGATTATGCGATTATGCATGTAATTACAAGTCAAAAAGATGCACTTTTCGTGTCAAACTCCGAATTCGTTCAGTTTCAACTGTTGCTTGGTAGTCTCCCTGTTGTTTTTTCAAGACAAGCAAGCAAAAAAAGGGATCGGTTGCCTAAACTCAAAGCATGTACCAAAGTCGTTGGGAAGGTTGGAAGGAAAGAATCAACCGAGTTCCGCGTCGCCAACCAGAACCCGGTCCAACCGACAAAACTACTGTTAGCTGTAAATCTGTGATTCACGCGCTGGATGTTGCAAGTTGCAAGATAGTCTGTCGATACTCAGTCTGTTTATGTTCTTTCCTATACCACTTTCACTCTCGTGTTCAAAAACGAAAAAGACCAATAATCAAGAAATCCCTATACGTTGAGTCCATCCTATTACCAGTAACAGTGGATGATGATGGTTAGTAATGGCTTTCTTTAAAATAGTGCTATAATAATTGTTTGCTGACTCTTACAGATAAGTTCGGACAAAGCCAAGCTATACATGTGATGGTTTGTTCACCACGTCCTTCCCAAAACTCTCACCAAGCCTGTCAGACCGACGCCACCGTGCGACCTGACGGGCGGTGGCGAAAGACCGGCGTCTGTTTCTTCCCAGCGCGCCCTCGGTTGGACTGGAACAGGTGACCCAGCGAGTCCCGGGGCAGTTCCGACGATTTTGCTCGAGCAAAGGACGCAGTCCGGATGAGCAGCTTCTTGAACAACCGCATGACATGCTTGGAGTTTGCTGTTCAACCAAGTCTTAGCTCATTATACCGTCACTAAATATTGACAATAACATCGACAACAAAGGAACATGGTCCAACAAAAGCACTGACAGTTGCTCATTTTTCAGCATTTTGGGGCTTCTTGGTAACTCGACGGCTGAGAAGCGGCAGTTTTTGGCGCTCCTAGCCAAGAGGCTGTCTGCCTCCTGTTCTTTGGCCAAGAATGCCTGTTCACTCAAGAACCGGAACAGAACGATTTCTCGTTCGCACCCGATCTTTACGGCATCCGTGGTCACAACGCTCGTTGGAACATGTTGGCAAATTGTCCAACACGTTCTGCCTCCCAACAGCTATTGTGTTGCATTTCGATGCTGCTACAAGCCCATCCTGGTTTTAACCTTCGCTCTCCCACTAGCTATCACATTGTGAGGCAACTTGATTTGTTCCTGCTATGTCTGTCTCTGGCCAAGCCATTTTTTCCATACTGAGATGTCATCATGCCAAAATACGTCAATTGGATAGCGGAGAAGCCAGCATTGCCTGCCTCCTTGAAAGAATAACCAGCCAATTCGATCTCTTTGAGAGAAAAGCCCGCATCCTTAGCTTGCTTGGCAGAGAAGCCTCCTATCTCCCTGCATTCGGAAAAGCAGCCTTCAGTTTTGTAATCTTGTGCTGTGGGTTCACGAGTCAACTCCTCCGTAGAGTAGCCTGCCTCTTGGCACATCCTGACCTCAAAGCCGACAATCCTGCACTGAACGGCTGAGAAGCCCGCATCTTTGCACTCTTTCGCTGAACAACCCGCTTCCTTGCACTCCTTGGCCGAGTACCCGACCTCCTTGCATTGTTCTGGCGAGAAACCCGCTTCCCTGCACTCTTTGGCAGACATGCCTGCGTCTTTGTAATCTTGTGCAGTTGGTTCACAAGCCAACTCCTCCACAGAGTAGTCGGCCTCTTTGCACCATGCAACCTCAAAGCCGACAATCTTGCACTGCATCGCCGAAAAGCCTGCATCCTTGAAGTCGAGTGGATTAAACCCCGCTTCCCAGCACTCCATCGCCGATAAGCCAGCCTCTTTGCACTCCTTGGCCGAGAAGCCTCGTTTCTTTAACCAATAGCCATTGGCACCAGCGTCTTTGAAGTCCTTGGCAAAGAAACCAGCTTTTCTAAGCTGTTCCGCTCGAAATTCCTCTCCAATCGCATACATCGAAAAGCCAGCCTCCTTGCATTCCTTGGCCGTGAAGTACTCTTTGTTGCACTCCTTGGCAGAGAAACCTGCATCTTTGAAATCTCGGGCAGTAGGTTCCCGATTCCACTCCTCTGCAGTGTAGCCGGCCTCTTGGCAAAGCGTTTCCTCAAAGCCGACAATCTTGCACTGAACGGCTGAAAAACCAGCATCCTTGAAGTCTCTGGCCGAAAAACCTGCCTCCTTACATTGCTTGGCCACAAAGCCTGCCTCCTTGCACTGCATAGGGGTGAACCCAGCCTCAATGCACTCTTGGATTGAGAAGTCTGCATCCTTGCATTCGCTGTAGGAGAAGCCCGCCTCTTTGCAATCACTTGGGGAGAAGCCTGCCTCTTTGCATTTTTGCGCGGAGAAACCAGCCACCTCCTTGCATTGCCCTGCTGAGAAGCCAGCATTTTTGCAATGTCCCGTCATATGTCCCAAATCAAAAAGATTTGTTGTGGAGACACCTTGATTCAAATAGCTGGCCACAACTTCGCATCTGATCATCTCACCACCATCTGCCAGCCACTTGTGCCTCATCTTTTGCATTTCAGCGACAAGGTCGACATTCAGCCGCTTCAATAAGTCGCTGGACATGGTCCGCAACGGCTCTTCAACCTGAAGCCGTATTCTCTCATGGCTCACCGGAGAGGTTGCCAGAAACTTCTCCAAAAATGCCTTCTGCTGAGTGCCCAGGATGTCATCCAAGCCTCTGGCAACCTGTGATTTGCGGTACTCCAGGACCAGACGCTGCAGAACGGGAATCAGAACTCCTTTGGAAGTGCTGATTATTGCGGAGATGCCTGCAAATCCAATGCCGTTGGGCCCTGCATACCTCAGCACCAGTGCCACACCAATGACTCCTTGTGGTATGTCTTCCGACCATGCTATCAGCAGTCGAGCACTGCTTAGGAAATCGACACAAAGATTGGTGAATCGTCTTCCAATCCACGCGCAGCAAGCTTCTCCACCTGGATTTGTGGGTTTCAATGGGAGCTCCAAAATGGCTCTGTAGGTCTTTCGGAGGTCCTGCGCACAGTCTTCAGATCGGATTACGAGAATGTGGGCATGTAGAATGACGTAGATCGAAACGATTGCCAGTAGACCTCCGTCAGCCAACCACCAAAAGGTTTCTTCTGAAAAATTCACTAATACAGAGTCAATCTGACGCAAACGGTCAGTGATAAGCATGTAGCAAATTGGGAGGCCGAAGCTAATTGCCACAATGTATGGGAGCAGCTGACGCCAATCGCAGCCCGTCACTATGCCCCACCACCGTGACCGGTTGAATAGGTCCATGAGAAAGAGCAACGAAGCTCCGCCAATCGATCCAAAAATCAAGACCCAAAGGTGGAAACGTACCACAAAGAGTGCAATGTAGAGTGCCTGATTTCGGGCACCCAAGTAGGAAACATATAAAAAGAAGGCAAAACAGGCAAAAGAGTGCCAATTGTGCCAAGTAAGTCACCAATGTGGAATCTTGATCGCGAAATTGGGATAGAAGAACCACAGTGAACAGTGATGTCCAAATCATCTAAATATAGTTCTCTGCCGGGTTGAGAACTATATAAGAACTTATGGTTAGGACTTATGGTATGGTTCTCAACCATCAAAGAATAGTTTTTTGTTGTTTTTTCATCATCAGTCCTCCCTTTCTGTTTTTGGTGCTTGAGAACCTCTACAACTCTGTGCCGTCTCGACCACTTCTGTGCCTCAGCCTCAGACGCTTCATAAGTCAGGTCAGAAGTCTTATCGATGCCTTTCAAGCTATATATTATTAGGTTGCTTTTTTGAGTCATTTGAGTCTAGGATTCCATTTTGGTTCTACGAGCCCTGGTGTCGTCGTTGTTGTTCTGTCGGTTCACTACTAAAGCCTTTCTGATCAAACAGGATTGGATCTGGAACCGAACGCAACAAGGAGAATAGTGCGCAAATCTGAACCAAATGGAACCAGTAAACACCTTTGATATTGGTTTACTCCTCAAACTGCTTTAGCTGCGTGACAAGGAGAATCATAAAAATAATCACACCTTGTTTGTTCATTACCACGTTACTAGAAGAAAAACAAATGAGTAAGAGAACTTGCGCAGGGTGATCCATCCCATCGCAATTGCACTGACTTCAACACCAGCAATCGCTGCTCCTATGAGGAAGCCGATCCATGTCTTCGCATGGAGAATGCAAAGTCCCGTCACCACCCAATCCTTCATGGTGTCTGCCATCTCGCTCGCAAATGGCGCTGTGTATGCAAGCACGGTTGTGCAAGTCGATGCTTTCAAGGCATGGCTATCCTTAGATGGAGAGATGAACAATACCCCAGATTTATATATATCTTATATATAAAATACAGTATACAATAGAAACCCTAAAATTTGAACAATCCAAAGATACCTGCTTTTCAATCGGCCTAACTTCTGCCGGATGCATTTTCGAGCCAGTGAAAGGATGCCGTAAAAAACAAAAAACAGTCTGTCGTGTCCACCCGTTTCCAGGGTTGCAAACAAGTGCTTTAAAAACATGGACGGGGAGACACGCCGTTTAACGCCAACAGCCGTTGTCTTCTTTTGTTTCTCCCCTTGCCACCACACAATAATCCCGAGTACCTATTAATGAACACTCCCCAATTAAAAAAACACCACGTCCGAACCCCTAAATTCGGTTTATATTTGGTTTTAAATTGCCGCCCTTTCAAGCCGCTACTAAACTACCAACATGGTCGATTTTGGGGGTAGTTTTTTTTTAAATTGGGTTCCCCAAAACTCCACCATGACACGCCGCACTTACACCAGCAGGCTTTCCTTCCCTCAATGGCACGGACTCACGCAAAGGCACTTGCCACCGAGGTCATGCAACACCGCATGGCACAGCGACATCACCTTTCGAAAGCTTTAGCTGTTAGTCTACTGAAGAATCACTATTCTAATGAAGGTTTTTGTAGGGGAAAAGGAAGACCCTTCGATCTGGCGGTTTTTTGCATTTTTGATACGAGTTTAATAAAGGATTTTATATAAAATTTTCCTGGATTACTTTTTGGTTTTGAAACTCTTTCCAGGTGACCCTATTTTGGGCCCCCCCGATTTCAGGGACCCCCTATTAGAAAAAATGCGACCGATGTTTTTTTAATTGGGGGGGGGGGGGGCCCGTGTTTATTATTAGGAGGACGGGATTAATTATGTCGGTTACCACCTTGCCACAACTCACACAAGACGCTGTCTTTGGAACAAAACGTTGTAAAGGCATTCCTTTATGAAAAGATCGAACATGATCGAAAAAGAGCTATGGTTTGTGCCGTTTCGAAGATTGATCGCCGATCCAAGCATCCAGCGTCGTGCATCGAACCAAGTTCTGCAGAAACAGGTTCCAAAGGCATAGCTGTTGCCACACAACCCAAAGTTCCCAGGCTAAACCACCTCCATCGCTCAAAAGCCAACCTTTGAAGATGGCCAAGGTCACAACGCCCGCGCATGTAAGGTGGTAGACCATGAGTGGAATAATGAACATCGTGTGGGGTCCCTTGAAAGGATGGTTGGGTTCCGTTGCAATCATGGGACTTTCCAAGTCATTTCTCTCGTCTTCCTTCAGCTCAAGCTGTCTGTAGCCGGTACTCGATGTGGATCCTTTAGCAAGTTTTCCATGCAAATGCTTGGCACAATAGAAGCAAAGCCGCATGGATTCGCATATGACAGCCATCATGGGTGGTGACAACCTTGCTTGGACAAAAGGAACTAAGGATCTGAATACAACTGTGGGTTCTGTGTTAAATTGACAGCATGACATCAGCAACAAAAGTGTTGTTCCCCATGTCATGTCACTCACATCGGGCAACTTCAGACTAGAAACACAAGAACAGAGGTGTACCAAACAGCCTTTAAAATGCCCTCTCGTGCCGCTGGGCAACAGGAGAATGGCACCCCAATAGTGAAGCCTTGCTTCGGACTCCTCCTCCTCAACGCCAGCCAGTTCAGGGAGGAATCGCTGTGGAGGCTGCACGAGGAGTGAGGGCAAGCTTTCGGTTCGGCACTTGAGGTCGGAAGTGCAATGCTTCCTGGGCAGGGGAACTGATGCAGGCAAAAGACATTGACATGAGTCAAGTCCAAAGGGCTTTAAAAGCATTTAAAAGCTATGGATATGTTGGATATGTGTTGGTTCTACCTGTGTTCAGCAATTGCTATTTATGAATCTTTTGCCGCAAAGACAAGTTTCCACATCTTGCTGCTACACATCTCCACCATCCAGCTCAGGAGTCCCACCACATTAGGCACAGGAATCCACGCCATGCCGAAGCTGCTGCAGGTCCAAGAGCCGGGTGAAACGGGGCGCGGGACCACCGGTGGCGTTTCACCGGCTGCGACACAGTCCACTCGTGGCGCCCTATCACCGAACTCGTGGCGCCCTATGTGCCAAATGCCACTCAGTCACACGGCATCCGTTCATGGAATACGAGAACACAGGAGACACGACGACTGAGAGTGGACTGAGAGGAGTCGTCCACGTGGACAGCCCAACTCAGCGACAGTGCGAATTATCGGAGACATCTGTGGCTGGAACGGAACAGGCCATCCGTGATCGTAGATGAGGCCTTTCTCAGAACACAGGTGGTGCCACCATGTTTCTCTGCAAGAGTTTCTTGCTTTTCGGAATTCTTGAACAGGTTAATGTTCATTGGCATTGAGGACTTGGCCTGTCAGTGTGGAGGGGGTCAGCATTGGATTTTGGAGAGTGTCGTTCTTTTGGCGAAAAAAAAAAAACCGCATGAGATGCGGAAGAAAAAACCACGGTGCGGAACTGCGCTGGTCCCCACCGTGGGGCTGAGCACTGAGCTTGGAACCTCCATCGGCTCGGACGCGAAAAGCGCGTCCGGCGGGTTTCGGTGCACCGGGTTCGGGGATCCGAGTTGGATTTGTGTTGGTCACTGTGTTGGTCCTACGCTCAACAAGAACTCTTCGTCTTCGTCTTTTGCTGAAAAGACCAGTTTCCACTTCTCTTCTGCTACAGATCTCTATCAGCCAGCTCAAGAAGTGGGAAGTAGCAAGAAGCTCTCTAGCTCAAGAAGCGACTCCGTTTCGCTCATGTGGCTTCGTCCCACCAGGCGGATCGGTGGCTCATAAGTCCCTCCAGGCGGCATCACACAGAAACATCGCCACCATCGCCCTGCCAGGAGCTCTCCAGCAGCCGTCGGAACGTTAAGCCTTGGGGATGTCGTTCGATCGTCGGATGATGCAACTGAACTGCGAAGGGCCAAAGGAAACAGGTCACCCAGTGGCAAACCCAGTGCAAATCGAATCCATTCGTTTACCTTGCATCCACGACTGGTCTTGGCACGTCTTTTCATTGTGGGTTCCCAACTCGCTTCATCCTATTTCTTCTAGTTGAAACGTCTGCAAAGGCAGAACCTGTATGCCATCTACGGTAACAGGTCAAAGAAAGGATCCTCCGCGAAATGATGCCCTAATTCAAGATTTCCTGATGTTAGTCTCTCGGCTTACTTTCCCGGAGACCCTCATTTCATCCGGCACATTCTCCACGCTGGAACCGCACTCCTTCCCGCACTGCTTTTCAAACGATCTCGCACGGCAGAAACCGAATCGATCCTGCTGCGTCTATTTTCGCCGCGCTCGGTAAAAATGGGAGCGCGTCGACACGGAGCTTCCGTGCGTCTTCGACGCGTGCAACCAAGGTGTGGAGCCGTTGGTTTTCGTGACGAAGGTGTGGGAGTTGTTCAAAACAAACAGAAAAGAACACATAAGAAAACAACAACCCAACTCAATCGACCAAAGTAATGAACAAAAATGATACACAGCTTTGCGCTGTGATCACTTGAAATTGGCGAATCCACTAGTTGGATAGTAAGGTGTTTTTGATGATCTCAAACCCCTCCAAGTCTCATAGTGAATGCAAAAACAGTGCAACATCTCAAGACATCGAGTCACCCAAGTGGTTTTGAAGTCTCCATGCCATCGGAGCTTTGCCATTTGAGGTTTTCCACTCCGATCCCTGCAACATGCACTGTTAAACATACATGGGAATGCAGTTGAGCTTCTTGTTCATCTGTCTTGTCAGGCCCCCTCCCCACATTGGCCGCGTGGAAAAAGACACAAGTCTAATTTAACCGATTCCAGAACTTCTCATGTTCATGGGAGTAGAGACTCCTGTGTTCTACTTCCCAATGGAATAAACGTTTTGCCGACTGGGGGACTAACTGAGCAAGGTTTGAAGTCAAGAACAAATGCAAAACACTGTGAGCACCACAGAATATTCTGGCAAACTTGGTCCTACCATCCTACTACTTGTCCATCCAAACCTCAGCCCATCAGAACAGTCACTCTACGGATGGCTCAGTCTTCTGTTCCACCAAGGTCCAAAGCTCCTCCCGGGTGAATCATCAACCAATCGTCCAAGTGTTTGTCGAGCTCCAGACCGGCATGGACCTCGGTTGCGCGATTGCCAACACGGAAAAGTTCCAGTAGCCTAGTTGAAATCAGGTGACTTCCGGTGGAATGCATCCGCATGCGCTTGGATTTTTGTTTTCTCCTTGAAGAACCGTTTGGTTTTATTTGGACTCGATTCAGCTCAAGTACTGCTTCCAGAGTCTATTCATTTGCGTCTTCCAAAACCAACCCATTCATGAGCTTTGAAGAGGGCCGCGTCCAGGAGAACCCCCAGAACGTCGAGAAGTCTCCACGACGTGCCTTTTGGGAATCAACTACGTCGGTTGGTTGTCGACCCAAACCATCTAAGCATCTCCACGGCTTCATCCCATCATGCCACAAATTTTCTGATCTCCAATCCCCATCCTTCCCCGTTCCCTCCAAACTATAATGACCAACTACAATCAATCTCCACCCAAGTTCTCCAATGAGTCATCAATTGCATTCACCTGCCTCATCTCCCATGATCTCCAGTCATCATTGCTTCATGACATCTTGCCGTCCCCATCTGCCGCCATCAAAAGGGGCCGTCCAATTGCCCCCAAGTGACAATGGTGGACTCCGAGAGGAAGACGGTGCGGGGCAATTCACCTGCCAACCGCCGCACGCAAAGCGATATATATATATATATCGGCCTTTGATGGATTGGAATAAGAAAAAACGGTGGACATGGTTATAAACTGCTTCGATGAGTCATACGCAGTTGCACATGTCTTAAGTTCTAGCTTTACTCACTTTGCCAGCAGCTCCTCTTGGGCGGCGACCTGGGGCCGACCTGGGGGTATACCAACCTGGGAACCTACTTCCCAATACCTATCAAACCCTCCCTCCACTCTTCAACCTACCCTGTGAAACCAACACGTCACGCTGCCGGAACAGCCGACCGGTCGCAAGATCTCCCCGGGAGACAACGACGAGACGTCGTGCCTGCGAGAGTCAACCAGTCGGGATATTTGGTCTCCTTGGGACGCTTGGGGAGATTCTCCTCTTCGAAGGCCAGGACCAAGCCCTTCCTCACGAAGTGCTACCAATAGCCGGCCACAGGAAAACACCCAAAGAAAGGCCATGTATCGCCGTGTCCCACGGGCCAGAACCTTTCATGGACCGAGGTGTTTCTGATGCTTGGTGACTGTAAGGGATATCAATATCGAATAGGTATCAAAAAATGACAAAAACAATGTATAGTGGTTTGTGGGTTGTCTGATGTGTTCGTGGAATGCTGGAAGAAAGGAGCATGAACAAGATTAGAATGTGAGTCCCACCTACCATTATCTACCTTTCGACACTCTTCTGAAGCCTCCAGTCAAGCTAGACCCATGAGTAATCACATGATCAGCAAGGGTGTGATCAGTGATGTTGTGGAATGCGGTGGAACGAGGAAGATCCATCTATACATATATAACCGATACAATTGTGTGATCAGATGATTCAAAGGGCCCCAAGGAGAAGTTATGATTCAGATTGTGAGGGAGAGCTGCAGATTTCCTTCTCAACGCCTAACTACTGTCCAATGTTTTTGGGTGTTGTTTTTTTGGATGTTTTTTTCGGCTCTCACCAGCCGGCTCCGGAGTCAGCTCATGTTTGAGACCTCAAATCTCAGGCTTTGGCGAAGGCTGGGCAGTGCTTTCAGCAGTGCACGAGGCCAAAAAGCGTCTGAGGCTAAAGTAGCTGATGGCCAAGAGCAGCATACAGCCAGCAAAAATGCAACTTCGGATTGTCGCCTGAAAATCCATCCTCACTTGCTCAGCGGCAAATCAAGGACTTCAACCATTGAACCATGGGGGTCCTGGAGTCTTTGAAACATCTTTAACAAGCAAGCACACAAACACCCAGACGTTCTTTTGATCAGCTCCCTTTGTCACACCTCTTTGGGACAAACTTCATGTGAAAATCAGAAACTTGGCCGCCGGATGATGCCTTCTGGTGGTCTAGTACAAAGGCTTCGGACCTGCGGAGAAAAAGCAACCTTTGGCCCTCAGGGGGCGGCGATTCCGACGATTAGGAGTTCTTAGCAACTTTAGGATTTAATCGGTCTGAAACTCCAACTTCCAACTCTATTTGGAATCGTTTTCTCTTCAACATCATTTTTGTCAACATCCATTTCACTACCAGCACCTTTATACTGCCAACTTCAAAAAACATTTAAACTATGCACCGCCAAGATTCTGGTCACTGACCGCAAATCTCAAGCCGATCCAAATCGACAGCACGGTCAGCAATGCGGGTGCCGCCAGGAGAATCACTAGGATGTTCACCCCGATCTCCCGATAGCGCGAGGACCTCCGGCGGCGGAACCTGCGAGCCATGTCGATGAAGTGCTCCTCAAGGTGTGGCATGAGCCATGGCCAGCAGTGACCAGCAGTCACCACTTTAGGAGTCTGGGCAGGAAAAACCACCCAATGATTTGGAGGTGGTCCATGGAAAGTCCTCTAAATAATAACCACCCCCTCCCCCTTGATCAAGATCTGACCCTAAATAGAGTTAAATCCATATCCGAGAACAATCTTGCTTTGAGGTTGAAATAAAAGGCCAATGAAAAGAAAGAAACGGACATGAAAGGAAAATGAAAGGAAAGGAAAGGACATAAAAGGAACATGAAAGGAAACGAATGGACATGAAAGGATACAAAAGGAAATGAAAGGACAATGAGAGGAAAGGCAAGAACATGAAAGGAACATGAAAGGAAAGGAACAAATAAGGGCAGAAAAGGAACTGAAAGGAAATACATAAAGCTAAAGCTTTTTAACCAAAGGACATCTAAAGAAATTGTAAAGGAAACCGCCAAAAGAACCAGCCAGCGTTTGTTTAGTATTATTTGAGGTCCGGAGCAACTGAAGGTTTAGGCTGCTTGTGAGGGGTGGTCTTTGTGGGTTGATTTCAGGTTCCAAATGGCAATGAACATGAAGCAGCCAAATGTGAAACAATAAGGTTGACAGTAAACAACAAGGTTTTGGAATCAGCTGAAAGCTCAGAATCAGCTTGGATGAATCAAGGTTTGGAAGCAGCTGAAAATCAGAGTCCCGAAACAAATAGCATAATGTGGGATCGATTTATTATGTGTTTTTGAACAACATACTAGCATTAAATATCATTAAACTATTATCCATGATTCAGGGTCCATTAATAATTATGAGGTCAATGACGTTATGAAACACTTCAGGTTCCTTTGGGTGCGCGAAGGGTTGAGTCTGCTCTCTAGTTGTTTGTTGTTCCAACCGGGCAAATTGGTTGGGTGTGTTCAATGTTTCGAGCTTGTAGTGTGGACATCATATTGTAGAAGGGGAGGCAAGTTCCTACATTCTGCGAAGCCACACGGATTGAGCTTTCGCTTCAACTAGTTTGACATGGAACAAATAATGCAGCCCTACTGCTAAAGGGGGAACCACTTTAGAGAATATCTGAGTATACTTACAGCCTTAAAAAGTCTTCTGCAACTTGACTTGGCAAAACAAAAAACATGCAAACAAAATATCCCTCACTGCCCAGTCACCCTCCCGTGATTTCTGGCCGAGTGTCCAGCAAAGCGGGAGCCCTTAGTCGGGCCGTGCGGCAGGTCAGCATGTAGGGGAACATCCCAATCCAGAAATCTCAGTCTCACTCATTCTGGTACGAGTAAAAAAGAACACCATCCACAGCATCACCACATATCACCACGATAGAAGGGCACATGTTGCAGGTACATCCCATGCAAAAACCTTTCAAGCTTCAAAACGACTCTAGATTTCACCAGCCTAAGATCTCCCCAATAAATCCCTCCCACA